TTATAAAAGAGCTATGAGTAGGGCTGCTCAAAAAACCCATAGTCCAATCTAACCCGGTCTGGTTCGAGTGAACCCGGCTTGGTCTAGTCTAAAAAAAAATTGGCCCGATGCAATAACAGACCAACCAGACCAAATTAGCTTAGTTTATATATAAATATATATATTTAAAGAAAATAATTCTAACCCTATTTTGAAGCCCTAGCTGTCACTCATCTTCATTGCCTCACGCCCTCACGAGTCCCCTTCATCCTTTCACCATTGTTCTCCTCTCCCTTTGTCGTCGATCTTGATGGCAACAAGCACCAAAACACTTCTCTCCCTTTCGGCTTTCACCATTGGTCTTTTTTTCCAGTCTCCCTTTCACCATCGCTCTTTAGCCTCCTGCCTTCTCCTTCTTCTCCATCATCTTCTTGATTTTCCTTTGTCTCCTTCACGTTGCTCCTTCAATGGCGATCATTCGACTCCATCATCGGTAACCACTTGTGATCACTTGTGCTTGTAGTAAATTCTGCCATGATCAAAGTCTCTCTCCCTCTTTAGTTTGCCTAGCTTTTAGATTGTCTTTACACTGCATGTTGCAGCTTTCAGATCTAGTATGCTTCTTCCTCCTGTGTGTCGATTTGTGACTCTTCATTCTTGCTATTGATCCACGCTTCTTTGTCCCTCATCTTTGATTTGCCGTGGATCTGTGATTCTCCTTCCTCCCTCTTCACACCTTGCAACTTGTACTGAAACCATCGAGTATAAGTGGGTTTTATTGATTGTATTATTGCAAAAAGAACATGTAAAAAAAAAAAAAAGAAGGCTGGACTTCCTAGACCAGCCCCTCAACCCGGTAGACCAAAGTCTAGTCTGACCCGACTTCGGGTTTCCCCCAGACCAGACCACGGGCTATGCATTTGAGCCTAAAGTCTTATCTAGACCAGATCTCGGGTTGATGAGTAACCCATTTTGATGTGGTCTTTGCACAGCTTTTTTGGAGCAATGTCATCCTAAAACTGGGAAAATCATGACAATGTTGACTTATCCTAATAAATCTTTACAGTCAAATGTTAGTTGACCCAATCATGCTGAGATGGATCTGCCAAGTCGAAGATTATGCTGAGGTAGCTTTGCCACCTATTATTCCACATATTATGGCATATAAAAAAATTTTAAAAAAATACGAAATAACAAATCTGCTCCTCGTCGTCATTATCCTCACTAAATATTTCCTGTCTTGAGTGCTTGAACCAGAGGCTTTATCATCATCATCCGTTATCGCCCTTATTGGAAAAATATTATCATAAATTCATGAACAATCAACAAAAGAGAATCCAAATCCAGATCAATAATTAATCAACCTAAGAAAAAACTAATTTGAAAAAAAAAAGACCCTCTTCCTCTCCCTCATTATCGAGCGTCCATTGATGTCAAAGCAAAAAAAAAAAAAAAAAAAGAATTATGAAACAAAGATCAAATCTGAGGGGTGGCATATTACATCCAACAATCAAAGAAATTGAAACAAAAAAAAATCAAACAAATTGAAAAGTTACCAAAAAAATCTTGATATTGAATAATTACCAAAACATCTTGATTGATCCATAGAGAAAGACAGAAGCTTGGAAACCGAACTTCAGGCTTGTTAAAGATCGATCTATAGTTTTTTAGAGGTGAGATTGTGAGTGTGACTTTTGTTTTCCCCTCTATCTCCTTCTTTAGTTCTTCCTCGACTTTTGCCTCTCGTCCTACCAGCAACAGTAACGACCAGTGACACTAGAGGATGATGTATGTTACCAGCGAGAATCGAAGGGGAGCTTCTACATTGTTTGAAATTGCAATCCTCTTCCTGCTAAGTGATCAGATATAACCCTTCAACCCTAATTTTATAAGAAGAATTAAAACTAGGACATTTCGGTAGATTCGATTCATTCCAAGTTGCAATACGAAAAAATCATAGTACTATTAACTATTAGAGACATATCCAAAGTAGAAATTTCACATTTAAATTGAGTGACAAGATTGGAATCTAATTATGGTGAGAAATTAATTAGATTTCACAAAACACATCAATTTTTCCTAAGAAAAAACAAAAAGAAATAGCAAACAATGAGACAAGATCTAAACATGTTCTGGAATAGAGGTCTTAGTCTCCTAGATTCAAGTTTCAAGACAGACTACTGCAAGATGGGGAAACCAAATCGCCTTGAAAGCTACACTCTGGTGAAAGAAGAGCTTTTCTTTTTCTTGATTGTTCATCTTCCCTCCTCACAATGCTTTCGTAAGAGTTAAGGGCAGGTTTGGTGTTTCTCATTTTTGTTTTTTTTTTTTTTATGATGTGGCACACTATGTGACGCAATATCCTATATGGTATACCCACCTCAACATAACTGGGTCAACTAACATTTGACCATTAAGATTTGTTAGGGCAGGTCAACATTGTTACTATTTTGCCACTTCCGGGGTGACATTATTCTAGGAAAAACTTCTTGATACCCATAGCTTCTTCACAAAAATTTTCGGGACAAAAATTTTGTTTAACCCACGTATTATTAGGTTAGGTTTAACCATAAATAATATAATTTAAAAAATTTTACCTTACAAGAAAATTGTACAAGATTATCATTTTTTGTGGAAGTAACAAAAAATTAACTTATTGTTTTGGATTAAAAACAGGGATGTTTGACCGTGTCCTGTCCTAACATCCCGTCCTTGTCCAAGACATTTTGGGACGGGATAGGACAAGACGAAAGTGGAACAGGACAAAATTATTTTGAGAAGGGATATGACACGAGATAAGGGTGTCCCATCCTCAATATATTATCTTTCTTTTTAGTTTTTGCAAATTTATTTTATTTATCACTATAGTAGTGTCATGGTATATAATAATATTTATCAATTATTATTTTGATTATTTGTTTATAAGCTGTTCTATACGGGTTACATGACATTCTTTTTAATGAACGTTTTGAGTTTGTTTATTTTTGTTTCTCAATATCACCAAAAAAAATTCTTTCTTTCCCAATTTTAATTACTGTGAATTTTTCCCAATTTGCATCTATTTTCTTTACATAGTGTTACTATGAGTTCTTATACTTCATATATAATTAGTTTTCAAATTAAAAAACTCAAAAAAAATTAGAAAAAAGGGCATCCCCATCACGTCCTGGTTGTGTCCCGTCCTAATCTACATGAGGGGGTGTTTGGATAGAAATCAAACTATGATTTTATGGTATATGAAGTAAATATGTGAAAAAATTTATCTTGATTTGCAAAAAAGTGCTTTTGAAAAGCACTTCTATAGGAATTCAAACACCCCCTAAATACTACTGGGACGGGACAAAACATAGGACAAAAAACCCATCTCATCCCAAATATCATGATGGGACTAAGACGAGGTCATTCCTATTCTACCCCATCCCAAAAACACCCCTAGGTTAAAGTACAATAACACATATGTAAGTAGATGTGGTAATAAGGGCCAACTCGCAAGGGTTAGGGTTAGGGTTAGGCAGCGTGGATTAAAAAGGCCTTATGTAATGGCGGGTTGGCTAACCAGTCATAGTGGGTTGACGAGTTGACCCACCAATCCTAGAACCTATCATTTTTTGTGGGATTCAACCCATATTATCAGCTCTATACGTAAGTAAGCTAGAACCATTGTCTTTAAAGAGGCAAATAGAATGGAAAATATTTGAATAAAAAGCAAATGATATACGCCATGATTTGTTACCCCTTATATAAAGCACGAGAATGAAAGTTCATGATGATCAAATCTATGCATATCAGACTGTCTAGTTATTTTTTTTCAAGATAAAGTGTGGTTTAAATTCTTAGAAGTTGAAAGTCGGATTCGGTAAAAAATAAAAATAAAAAAGTGGACCGGGTATGCCGACCAAAAAAATATTGGGAAAATTGTAATTAGATCCTATTTAAGAGAATTAAATACAAAATAAGCCCTCAAAATCATGAAATTATTCTGAAGCTCCAAAGGACCTTATTGTAATAAATTTTATTTGTTTAATTACCAAATTATCCTTCTTCTTCTTGTTTTTCTTTTAAGTTTGCATTGACAACTGAAAGAGCAGTAGTTGACAACTTAAGGTGTAAAGATTAACAACTATCGCGGCAGGCATTGACGACTCATACATTGCATTTTGTGATGTGCTGAGAAAATATGTGGTCAATACCTGCCGCGATAGTTGTCAATCCCTGCATCTTGAATTGTCAACGACTACTCTTTCAATTGTTAATGCAAACTTAAAAGAAATAATAAGGACAATTTGATAATTAAACAAATAAAATTTTTTACAAAAAAGTTCCTTAGGACTTCAGAATAATTTCATGATTTTAAGGGACTTTTTGTATTTAATTCCCTTAGATGGCACCTAATTATAATTTTTCCAAAAGGATACAAAGCTTCGCTAGCAAGTTTTGTTAGATTTTTTATTTTATTTTACAGTAGTACAATTTAAATTCATACACACATAAATGTGTCAACATCAGGTTGGAGTCTGTTTTTGAGGCGAATTTGGTTAGATTAATTTAGGGTAAAGTATTAATTCGGCTCTCATAATAACAAACAAAAAAAGTTTACGTTTTAGTTTCCCAATTAAGGCTCCATAATAGGAATTACAGCATGAAAGAAGACGCTGTGAAGAAGGGGACGAAGAATGTCACATTTTGACGGGAAGGGAAGGAGGAGGAAAATTTACGATGAAGATATTTTGGTCTTTTAATTTTTATGATTATTAAAATTAATAAAATTTCCCAATATGAAACGAAACCCAAAGCAGGAGAGAAGCCGGGTTCTTGTTTTTCACACTACGGGAGTGTTTGGATAGAAGCCAAATTATGGTTTCAAAAGTGTTTTTACGGATTACGAAGTAAATATGTGAAGGAGGTTACCTCATTTTGCGGAAAAGTAATTCTGAAACTGTGGTTTTGGTTTTGCCAAACACCCCCTTCGTTTCTTACTATTACGTTAGACTTTATTACCTGTGATCCAATGAACCAAACGGGCCATGTTCGTCGCCAAATCGCGTTATTCGCCAAATTCATCCCCATATAACTCTTGAAAAAACCTCTTCCCCTTTTAAGGCTTTAACTTCTCTACCGTATTGACATTCAAACGCGTCAATTCATCAATCATCAACGCTAATCTGATACTGAAGGTCGGATCTTCTCACGTCCATCTTTATCTGCGTCAACATTTTTCGGTCCATTTATTTCAAAACCCTTTTATGCCGCTCTATGATTATAGAATGATCTGCGATATCCTTTTTTTTTTCTTTTTGGGTGGGAAAATTTGATCTTTTCATTTGTGTTTGCCCCTTTGTACGATCATTTGAATTAAGTTATCCGAATTCCACATTCGGAGTTATTGAATTTGCTGATGATAATTAGAAATATATGGCGAACTTCTGTCCCACATTGCATTAGAATGATGCATTTTTGTGTCGTATTTCCGTCCCTTGTTGCCTCGATTTGATTTGGTCTCAATTTTGGTCAAGAATCTAGTTTTCTTTGAAAAAAAAGTTCCGAACAGCAATTCAAAATTTTTGTCCCCAGTTTTACCTGTTGATTCGCTTTGCTTTTCATCTTAAAACGATAGTCCTAATTGTTGTATATTCTGATCATTCTGATTCAGCAATTTTAATCTCAGATGGCGCTACAAGAAAAGTTAGACCGATTTAAAAAGCAGCAGCAAGCGTGTCAATCAACCCTCGTAAGCATTGCATCTACTAGAAAGACCGCAGCACCTACAGCTGCATCTGCTTCTTCCAATGGAAGAACTCAAGCTCCTGCTAATAAATTTTCAAATGATACTGAGAGGCTTCAACATATTAACAGTATTCGGAAAGCCCCTATAGGAGCTCAGATGAAGCGTGTCATTGGTCTGTTGTTCGAGGTATTTATTTAAACTACCCTTTTTGCATTTTCTTCCTACTTTAATGCCCAAAGATTGATCTTTTACCATGTTAAGTTTACAACAACTGCTGTCACTTGTTATTAAAGTAATGGCCGGTATGGAAGTTTTTGAAAATGTAAAAGTCGAATCCTATATGTTCTCCATGTTACTGCAAAATCGTATACTTATTGAGTTGGTAGAGGCCGAGAGTTGACAATTAACTCTATGATAATACTTGTTACTGGAAAAGTTACTTCAAATAATATTTAATCATGCTGATGGGTTAGTTATAGCGGTGCATGCCTTAATTAATTGTTGATCACAAAGAAATCTTCTATTGGTTAACTTGTCATGGGGATGCAGAAAAGGGAGGCATGCCAAACTGATGTTTGCTATGATAAATTTACTTAGCATTAACATTCTTTGTGTTATCAAATGCTAGCAATTTTCAAACTGCTTTTTAATAGAACAGTGATTTGAAGAGTTACTATGATAATTTCTTGTTATGTATGATTAGGTTTGTCTGTGTCTGCCATATATAAAGTTATAGGTGTCTGTGATGAATTTATAATGGTAATTGATGCGCTCTTGCTTGTTTGCAGACCAGACAGGCTTTTACACCTGAGCAAATAAATGAGGCCTGCTACGTGGACATGAGGACTAACAAAGATGTTTTTGACAATTTGAAGAAAAACCCCAAAGTTCACTATGATGGGGAACGATTCTCTTACAAGGTAACATCTACAAATTTGGACCTTCATATGCTCAGATGTTCCTTTAGACGATGACAACCCATTCTGTTGTGTCACATATACGGAGTATAGTCAAAGCATGACCTTAAGGAAAAAAGTCAGCTCCTCTACCTGATACGTAAGTTTCCGGAGGGCATTCCTGTTATTGACCTGAAGGATTCTTACCCAACTGTGATGGGCGATTTGCAGGTAAAGGATTTTTCTAGTTTCTTTTTTGTTTGATGAACATTAATCTATCAGTATTGGAGGGATATTGGCTATAGATGTATTTTTAACTCTAATGTTGCTTTGAGATTAAGAAGCAAACAACGTGCTACCATAAAGTTAATTGCTTCTCTGTGGACTGAGCTTTTGAGACAATTGAGTGCAAATTCAGTGTTCTTTTCGAAGAAGCTTAAATTTTATGGCAGTGCATTAACATTGCACAGTAGTGGGCATTGTGGGATCAGTTTACAACTTTCCTAAAGTCTTGGTTGTTCTTGAAACATTATGAAAATTACTGAGAAAATTAAGACGTTTCTTATGTTTCATTGAAGGATCTATACAAATCCTTGCTGTTTATGGTACTAGCCTGAATGTTTTTTTTCTTTTTTAGCCTCTCGCTATTCATATTAGTCGTTGCAACCTGTTGATTTGCTTAAGGCCAGTGATGGAGACTTGGTAGTGTGGGATGCTAAGTCCTACATTGAATATAATGGGATACTCAATGGCATATTTAAGTGGGTTGGTTCTCCCATCTTAACAGTTAGTTTTTGGGTTAAGATTCTCCATCCACTTAGGTACACATCTGGTGGTTATGGAAAATCCTTTGGAAGAATGACCAACAAAGAGTTGTATAGGCGGGATTGGGAGGGTTTTGTGAGGTTAGATGTGGATGGATCTTTTCTATCTGTGGCACTATAGCTTGTGTGGAGGAATGATTTCGGGGGTTGAACTTATTAGGACATGGGTTTCAAGCAAATGGAGGTCTGTAGTGCTTGTTTAGAAGCGTTATAAATATTATCACTAGAGGCCAAAATAGAACCCACCCTTACCAGGATATCATTAGGATTACTCAATCCCTTATTAACAGGTGGTGGCACGTGTCTGTTGTTGTTGTGTATAGTGAGGTTAATTAAAGCCCTAACACCTTAGCTAGGCTTATTCATGATATAAACTGGTTGGTTATACTCTTGTAATTCTTTCGGTTGAATGAAGTTTTAGCTTATATTCGAAAATAGAAAAACTCATGAAGCTTCCCTCTCCTGCTAGTCTCCCTAGTCTTTTTACATGCTGCTTATATGTGATTGAATTTAATGCGAGAAAGAATTTAGCTGATGTTTAAGAGAAGCAATTTTCTTCTATTAGATAACTAGATAAGAGGTACTAATAGAAGTTGAGTGCATTTTCTGTACCTTTTATTAGAATAAGCAAAACTCAATTGAACTATTTAATAATATTGGCATAAAAATATCCACAATCGAATGAATGACTCGACATTTGGTAAATGATGTTTCATTAAATTTATTCCAATAATTTGTTTTGCAAGGACTAACACATTTTATGCTTGTTCTTTTCCAGGCTCTGAAAGCTGCAGGGCAGATTTGGCTGTTGTCCAACTTCGACTCACAGGAAGACATTGCCTACCCTAATGATCCTCGAGTTCTAATTAAAGTGGATGATGACCTAAAACAGCTTTTCCGGGGAGTCGAATTGCCTAACGATATGCTTGACGTAGAGAAGGATCTACAGAAGAACGGGATGAAACCTGCCACCAATACAGCAAAGAGGAGGAGTGCTGCACAAATCCAGGGCATATCTACTAAATCCAAGACTAAGAAGAAGAAGAATGAAATTACCAAGAGGACCAAATTGACCAATTCTCATCTTCCAGAGCTTTTCCAGAATTTATCCTGAAATTGATGAATCTGCGGCAAGAATTCAATGAAGTCCCATACGGATAATCATTTTACTGCGAGTATTTGATCATGACTTGCTGATTGGCAAAGTGCAATTCTGGCCATTCATTACTCAAATATAGAAGAATCTATGTAAGAATGAGGGCCGTAGCTGGAAGACATTTTCAACTGTGAACGAGAGAACAAAATGAAGTTGGCAGATATGGTCATCTAGAAGGGCGAAAATATTCCCTAATGCTACTAAGTGTTACTAGTCCAAAAGGGGCTGTTGTGATATTATACACCTATGATACAAACAAATTTTAAACACATCAATAATGAGATCTATATCGAATGCTGATATTGCTTTCAACTATCGCATTGGAATATTGTTCAAGTTTGACGACGTGTTGACATATTCTGTTCTGTTATATCGCTAACGAAACCAAGTAGCCATTAGCCACTCAATATTACCCCTCTTTGAAAAAGAAAAAAATTATCACACTAAATAAATGTAATTCAGTGAGATTTGCAGTAAAACGAGCATTGATTGCTCATTGCCTTGCTAGGTTAGTTCAACATAGTTTTAGCGGATTTTTACACTTTTGATCGAGCCTTTCTTTCAAGTTCACTTCTATATTTGCCTGGTCTCGCTGTTACATTTAAAACCACTATCATTGGAAAAAAATGTGTGCGTGTGTGTGTGTATTTATATTATGGGGTTTTCCTCATTTGTTTATTTATCCTCTGCACTGTTCTTGTTCTCTAGAGGCACGGGTTATCCGTAAATCTTATTCACGTATTTAACCTTATAATGTTACCTTCAGTTCAAGGTAGATATTTAATCAGCTCTCTTTTACATGTAATGCCAATTTTTTTAAAACACACTTCAATTTTGAAAGGTCCATAGTTACATGTATTTCAATTAATTTTGTAGCATAAGTGACCAGAAATCACACCTGAGATAATCTTGATTCTCTTCTTCCAAACGGTAAGTATAAAACAAACTTTGGATGGTTAAACTTTGCCACGCACAATAGGTTTGCTCAATTTGAATTTTCTATACGCATCAAAGAATATCAATGTTTTGATAATATGACAATTCAAAGCAGGTGTCATGGGTACAGAAAATCACACAATTCTTTTACCAAAGGGAATAAAAAAATTTATAAAGTCACTACACAAATACTTCTTCCAAAGGGAATAAAGTATAAACTAAACTTTGGATGGTTAAACTTTGCCATGCACAGTAAGTTTGTTCGATTTGAATTTTCTATACACATCAAAGAATATCAATGTTTTGATGATATAACAATTCAAGGCAGGTCTCATGGGTACAGAAAATCACACAATTCTTTTAGCAAATGGATTTAAAAGATTTATGAAGTCATTACACGAGTATAAACCAAATGCCGCAGACATTGATCTCCCTTTGGCAATTTGTAGAAGAACCATACAGATTCTCTCTTCAAGCCTTAGAATGGCTCCTGGCAGCATTTCGTCTTGCACAGCATCCCACAAAGTATACAATAGACTGCCATTGCACATCACATAGTAAATCAAGTTTAAGGCATGCAAGGAAATGCACACTTGATTACTAAATTGGACAATGCTGAGTTGATTGAAGTTTTTTGGTGAAAATATATGAAAGAAACTCTTCAAAAGACCTAATAATTTAGGGTTGAATCGTTAGAAAATCTTACTCATCATATATTTTTCTTTATAAAAAATGTGTATGGGATCTGCTTTTTCCCCATCGCTCGCTTCATATTCTATCTATCTCTTCTATATATAATTTATGCATTTACTTGATTAATGCAGAGATTGCAGATCAAGCTCATAAGCTGGTACAATGTAGAGTAACGAGGAATCATCCTTGGAAATAATTTGATGAACCTCACAAAAGGTGCAGGAATGTCTTACCAACACCACAAATAAAACAACATTGAATATTGCGACAATTCTCCACTCAGTTTTCATGTATTGTGCAACGCCAGCCCTGGTAAAAGAAGGAAAACACAAGAGCAGTTGGTTAACTTGTACATATAAAGAGTTGGAACATCGGCCATGGGATAGGCTACCAGGCATGCTTACTTGCAAGAATCACAATCATAGCATTTGACGGCCTGAGAATTTTTGAACCGTTTGCAGTCATGGTTAGGGCTAACTGGATGAAAGGTCAAGTCATAGTATGATGCATTCACAGCAGGATATCCACATCTGAGTTAACATGGAAAAATGTCAGTAATCTGAGTTAGTTTTTATTGGCCAGAAGGTGAACTTTAGTCAAAACATAACTGAAACTAATCTGAAGAGATATTCGTCAACAAAGAAATCTTTGAGAAAGGAAGGCAAATGGAACCTACTCGGAAGGTGGTCTGCAACAGCCAGCCTCGATTGGAGTCAATTTAGCTAATTCATACTGTTTAAGAGTCTGTAAAATGCAAAGGTTGGGAAGAGAACAAATGAGAATTGTTCATGCAGATCATAACAGTTAATTTTAGTAACATGACAAAATCATGGGACCTTGTATTTTTTTGATAGTTTATTGCAGTCTTCAGATTTGACAAGACAACTCCTCAGGCGAGCCCAGTTATGAGAATTGTTCAACTAAAACAAAAGGAACAGATTAATCAAAAGGTTGTTGAATTTTTATTGCGTTAGCATTAGTTCCCTAGGTTTCTACAAACTTACTTGTTTTAGGAACCATGAGCTGTAATCTTCCAGTTGATACTCTTTGTACCTAACAAGACAAGACATTCCTTCTTTTTTATAGTGAAGCAGTAACGGGGATAAATTGAAAATGCCACCAATATGCAGTTAACTACAAAATTGAAGGACAATAATGAAGTATACATATATCAAGTGCTTGCCTTACCTCAAGCCAGCCACATTATGGCCTGATCCATTATTAGTCACAATAAACCTGACACAATGATGAGATTACAAGACACAAACAAGTATCCAAAATCCAAGTGAGTAGGTAATAGCAAACATAAATAATGAAACACACATCCAAATTTTATTGTATTTTTCCCTAGTTTTGACAACACTTCATCAGACATGTTTTGCTTTTAAACTCTAGCATATAATTCCTTAATTGAGAATATTATGGTTGACTTTTAATGTGAGGAATAAACTTAAATCATGGTAGCTCTTACCCTGCTCCTTGAAAATTCAATTTTCAGATTAATTGCATATAATTAACTGTGTTAACTCTCCGTGTTATCAGTTGTTTACAACTCTTTGAAATCAGTAACATCAATTGATGTTTCATACATCAAAAAATTGCCACCGAGTGGTAATGAGAAAATAACTATGAAGAGATCACATGCTCTGCAAAGCTAATAAATAAAGCGCCTATATCAAGTCCTCAATGCCTAAATAAATCAATAAAACATTTAAAGCAGCAAAGGAATTAAAAAGAAAAAAAGTAAATCTGTTGAGGCATGTTAATTGCAGAAAAATCATATGGAAATCCAGGCATCCAGCTGTCATACTAAGGTAAATGCACAAGTCACTTGTGAATTCATGGCAGGGGCAACTTTTAAGGCCCAAAGGACAACACAGACACCAACAAGAATGTCGTCAAAGAATTTGCATACTTACGCCAATACAGTGAAGACCAGAATAGCTATTAAGATGAAGCACAATGTGATCAGATACTGCAAGTGAAAGGTCAAGGATGATACCAGAATCGAGAATATAAAATCAAATTCTTTAAGGTTTTGGTAAGTGACAGTGGATTTATACCCTACAGGTCAAATGTCTGTGTATAATACATTCAAAGAGAAATCAAGGAAAAATTGAATATGGGTGTAAAGAGGGAAAGTTACCAGTGAGCCCGTACACAATTACACTCTCATATGCCACTCTCTTACAGAAGCATGGTTCAAGATTCAATTTAGAAATGTATGAAACCATCATACATATTCATCTGATAAGGATACAACCCATAACAGTATCGAGCTGTTTTTTAAGGCACCAAAGAAACCAATTACAGATCTATAAAAGTTAAAAGCTTGGATTAGAGGACAATCCACAAGAAGAAATATTCCAACCAAAGAAGACAGCAGAGTTGATAAGAAATGCAAGGCTGACATTATGAAGATGAATGCTCCAAGGCCTATCACTAGCAGAGTGAGAGACTTCCTACAGCCATCATGATGATTGCTCATCCATATTCCAAATATTATTACTGCGACAGCCAAAAGCTGCACAAAGAGAATATTAAGTATCAACCAATAAATAAATAAAGAACACTACTTATATCCTAATTCGCTGATAGATCAATTCTATTTGCTGTAAAACTCATGAAGTAGGGTCTGATATCATCATTTTTCATCAACAATTCTTTTCTAACTTACCATCAACCCACTAAACTAGCTAGAACAGAAGTAAACAAAACATCTAAAAACCATAGCTTTGAACATGTTCAGCTGCATATGAATGCAAATAAGCGCGAACAATTATATATAAGACCCCTGAAAATCATTTGACCGAATAAGCTGCGTCGAGAGGTGGAGAAAGGAAGAAAAAAAAAAATCAAAACTAGAGAAAATGGAGCAAGTCCAAACGAACTATCCAGCAGACGAAGCGAAACCCATTTAGAGACGATTAAAAAACAATTAAGAAAGGGGTCACGCATAAAAATGGGCATGCTTCCAAAATGCAGCTCAGAATCGCCATTAAAGTATAAGAATCAACAAAGATACACGCACGAAGACGCAATGAAGAAAGGAATCAGAATCATACCATGGTGAAAAAGTTGATCCATCTGATGACAAAGTTACTAGTTCCGACTCCCATTTTCCCCTTTCCTCCTCGGCAGCACGAAACGAGGGGAAAAAGATTGAGATGTCCGAAATTTGGAGTTCGAATGTTTACTAGAAGATTTTCCTTCCGTTTCTTTGTCGTTAGAAAAAGGAAAAGAAGTTGAAAAAGGAGGAACAGTTTCTTGTAGCGTTATGGGCGCTCGCAGTAGCACTTGCACTTCAAGTCAAGGAACCGCGGGCAAAGAGGCGCCGTTAGAGGGTCAGGTATGGGATAATGATAGAGACGAAGGGCATTTTCGTCAATCGAAATATCTAGCCGTACACATGATTTTGTGTTCCTCACGCCCCCCGCCTGTAATCTAATGTGTTACGAAACCCGATATCATCATAACCTTTTCACATATTTAATTATTTTCATTTGGAAAAACCTAAATATTTTTCGTATATGATATAACTTAAAATTTTTACTTAAATTATATTTTTTATTATTTAAATTCTCTCAAAATATTACTTTGAATCCTTAATATAAGATCTAATTTACAATTTATATTAAATTTTAATTTGAAGGTTTAATTTGAACTATAAACTAAATTCTATATTAAGAAGGTAATATATAAAAATGAACTACACAAAATTTGACAAAATGTGAAAAAAATAAGGAGCTGAATTATTCATGAATGCTTCTTATATATACTATATTTCAGATTGAAATTGATATAGCTTTTTATATATTTTTTACATGCGCACATCTATATATGAGTCCCTTTTATAATTGGTCACATGGCAATTTTTTTTATTTATAATTTTTGTTACCTGACATGGCAAGTCTTCAAACCGACGTTTGTAAATTGTTATAGCGCGTCATATTTCAATAAAATATAAGAGAAATATAATATAAACTAAAGTATACTTTTAGTTTTTTATCTTTATATAAGGTTTTATTTTAGTTTCTTAACTTTAAAAAATAAGCTTTTAATCCTTTAACCATATAATCGTTAACAAAAAATAATGATATTGAGCTCTTTAACATTGATAATGTATTACCAAATACTAACATATTAAGTTTAATTTTCAAAATAATCATGATTATTACAAAAAAATTATCATTTAATACCAATAATTTTAAGATTGAAGGACTAAAAATATACTTTTTAAAATTAAAACTAAACTAAAATTTTACATAAAGTTAAAAAACCAAATATATATTTTAAGCTGTAATATAGTATGAAGCATATCCGGGGGCACAACAACAACAATAATAATATTGTTATTATCCCTGTAATGAATAGAGAAGGAAATTCCGGCGGACAAAAAAGTGAATAAAGAAGGAAAATGTAAGAGCGAAATTAAAGTGTCGCCGAAATCCCAAGTTTAGTCTCACTGAACAGTCAAAAAGGGTCGAGTTGAGTGTTGACGCATGTCAGCGTGCACAGTCTTAGCCCAAACAAACTATATAACATCGTAATTTCCCAGTTCAAAACATTTGGTCAAAGTGACATTGTAGACCCTCGAGAGAAATAATACTCTACCAGTCTTTAATATAAAATCCATTTAACTAATTTGATTAGATTAAGAAAGTTAGGTAATTTAGTTAATTATAAAAAAAGTAACATATTTTTCCTAAAACACTATAATTATTTTTCTTAATACCCCTTCTCCCTCTTCTACTTGATTATAGTTGAGGGAGTATCCATAAGGATAATTTAGAGAAAATTGATAAATATGAGAAATGGGTCTTATATTTAAGACTAAAACTAACTCAATAATTGGGTCCTATATTAAGGATCGGAGAAGTAACATTTAAGACCTCAAGTTCTGGGCTATTTTTAAAAAAAAAAAAAAAAGAAGAACCCCAGGTACACAGTAAACAGTGTTTACTAATTACTAAAATACTGCATTGAAAATCATTCACGCTAAATGAAAAGTGGGAGAAAAAGTGATTTCTTAATAAATGGTGAAGAGTGTTAAATGTAAGAGAAAAAGTGAAATCATTTATTGTGAGAAAGAGTTTACTTTCTTCGAATACGTCGTTCCTGGCCTAAATGATTGAGAAAATGACATTGAGGTCCCATGGAGAACAAAATACATCAAATAGGTTCCCTGAAATCTGATAATTTTTTTGAAGTCTCAAAGGGACTTAAATGCAATTTTCAGAATCCACTAATTACTATTTTGCCCTGCCCCTGCCATCAGAAAAAAAAGACGGGAGAATGAACTTCTGTGAGGATTTCCCGCGCAATAAGCTTGAGGGAGAAGACATTGGGAAAGAGAGAAGAAGCCATTGATGATGAAATATTTTCTCCATTATCATTATTGAACTCCAAAGTGCTTCCATGTGAATCTTCACAAATCTTCAGGTGTGAAACTTTCTTTTCTCTCCTCTCCTACCTTTCTTGACAGATTCTGGATTTGTTTGAGAATGGGAAATCAAAAAATCGTTTTTGCCTTTGGTATTTCAAAGCTTTTGTTTTTTGTTTAGGATTCAGAGGTTAATGAATGAAAAAGCTGTGTTTTTGGTTGGTGTGTGTTGTGATTTAAGTTGGGTGTGTAGAATGATAATGGGTGTTCTGTTTTTGGGTGGTTTTTCTCTGTTTTGATGTTAGTTTAGTGGCAAAGGAAGAAAAAGATGAAGGTTAGTGAGGGTAGAAACCCTTAGCACGAAATGAGACTGTGTTGTTAATCAGGCCGTGATTGTTGTCAATGTGTGCTGCGACACTTGTTAATCTAGCTCCTTAAGTTGTCAATGACAGTTGCGTGCTTCTTGATGCAAGTTTAAGTTACTGATGGCGAGTACGTCTGGAAAATATCTATTTTGCTTTGTTCACATAGGGGGAAAATTTATAAAGGATGGAGAAGATAATATGAGATATGTGGGAAGTAGTGTAAGAACAATCATTGTAAAGGAGGGCACAAGTTATGAAGAATTGAAGGAAATTATATCATCAATTGTTGGAAAAGAAAGCAACTCATTTCTTCTGAAATTCTCAGTTATGTCTGATAAAAAAACTTTTGTGGAGTTGGTAGATGATGATGGGATGGAACATTTGATAAAGTTCAATGAAGAAAGTAGTCATGTGTATGTCGAAGAAAATGAAAATGAGGACCACATAGAAGCAACAAGGGATAATACAATGGAGGAGCAAGATGTATAAGTATAGTTTAACAAAACTGTTAGTGATTTCTTAGTATGTCAGTTGTTACTGTATTGCTACCAACTTATCAATGCATGCACCCTGACTTGTCATTTTCTGCAGGATTTATCAATCATTTGGAGGTGTCAATGAATTGTCTATGTCTCCACCTACCTTATTTGATGTGATTGGAGAGCCACAATCAATTCCTTGTGCTGTTGAAATGATCCCAACACCTACATCACAAATGAATTCCACAAAATAGAAGGATTTGATTATTGGAGAAGGACAAATATTTCCAAATGCCACTACTCTCTGAAAAACATTATACAAGTACAGCTTATACCAGAAGTTTTCGTACCTTTTCATTAAGAATAACCAGCAAAAGATCATTGTGAAGTGCAAAGTTGATGGTTGTCCATGGCATATGGGTGCATATTCAATGGGAGCACATCAAGATACTGAGTTTTTAACTATCAGAACGTACAAAAGTGAACACATTCATCATGCACAGGACAACTTAATTGTACCTTACTCAGGAAGGTCAAATTTAGCTGCTTCAATTGTGATTGATGACTTGAGGTGCAATGTTGACAAGAGTCCTAATGAAATTAGAAAGGACTTGTATAAAGAATATGAAGTGCAATTGAACTATACTCAAGCATATAGGGTTAGGAAGAGTGCACTAATGGAATTACATGGTCGAGTAGAAGATTCTTATAAGGTAATCCCTTGGATGTGTGAGAGACTAATGGAAACTGATCCTAACACAGTTGCAAGATGGGAAGGCTCAGATAACAACCGATTTGAGAGGCTATTCATTGCATATGGATGCTCAATTAAAGGATTTGTGGAAGGTTGCAGACCAATTATTTATATAGATGGATGTCATTTGAGTGGTCCTTACAAAGGAACTTTATTATCAGCTTGTGCATTTAATGTAGACAATGAGTTGTTTCCTTTAGCATATGGTATTGTTAGCGAAAAGACAAATGATGAATGGACTTGGTATCTACAGAATCTGAAAGAGATAACCAGATAAGCACAAGTGACAATTATCTCAGATCGAAGTAATGCTATTATCGGTGCTGTCAGGACAGTATTTGATGGTGACAGACATGCTTTTAGCTATCGACATGTGAAAGAAAATTATAGTGCGTAGTATGTGAAAATCAATAGAGGTGTAAGACGGATCTCAGAAAATAACAAGGAGAATGCACTTAATTTACTTGATGGAATTGCATATGCAAGGCATGATAATGAGTTTAATATTGCAATGGGAAATTTAAGATTGTTTTGTCCTCAATTGGCACAATGGGTTGAATCTCATGGGGATGTGGATAGATAGGAGCAAAGTAAATTTCCTTTTAAGAGATGGGATAACATCATCAATAATCTTGTTGAGTCTTTTAATGCATGAATGTTAAAAGAAAGGAAGCACGCCTTGTCGGTTTTGATACAAGAGCATCAAGAGAAGTTGGCCAAGAAGATGGTTGCTAGCAAAATGGGGATGAAAAGCTGGAAAAATGGTGTAGGACTCAATATTGAATCAAAGTTGTCGGAACAAATAGCAAGAGGTGTGTATATGGAGGCAACATATTATGGTGATGACCATATTTCGGTGCAGACAATACGTGAGGGACGTATCATCTATGTTTCTGTTGATCTGATTTCTCATAGATGCACATGTTTGGCATGGCAAATGAGTGGAATACCTTGTCCACATGCTTGTGCGGCAATCAAACTAGTTCACCGTAGTGTGTATGATTATGTAGATGATTGTTACAAATTGTCCACACAGGAGAAAATATATGCAAATAGCATGAGGCCAATTGCAACACATGATTGCCCACAGCCTGATACACCTACTGTGAGTCATATGCTGACCCAAACATTCTTGCATCCACCGATAACCAAAAGGCCTCCAGGAAGGCCAAGGATTAATAGGATAGAATCTCAGTTTCAAAATAAGAAGGTTTATCATTGTGGAAGATGCAAAGAGCCTGGACACACTGCCAAGACATGCAAGAACCCAAATCCTAGCTGAGAAATTATTGAAGTCAGCTATTTTTTGTATATGGATGTGAAGAGAATATTTTGTAAATGGGTGTGAAGGAAATTTTTTGTAAATGGATAAACACCACTGGTTAGTTTCATTATTACATGCAACCCCTATGTTTTTTTTGGGATGGGTTGTGAAATAGGTGTAGTTTCATGTATATGAAGGTGTAAATGAAAGTTAGCTATGAATTGGCATATTACATTGTACTGTCATTTTAGTTGTCATTACCTGCACCCTGAGTTGTCACTAGACCTGTAATGACTTGTCAATCATTGCACTATGACTTGTCAATGAATTTGCTAATGTAAGTTGTCAACAACATGAATTCAAGTAACATAACCTTTTTTACCATGAAATGATATTTACAATCACTCTGTCATATTATATTTTGGTTGTATAGTCATATATAATCATTATTAATGAAGTATCAAAAACTTACCTCTCCCTTGTCCCCTGTCAGTGGTGGCTCTGTGACTTGTCAATGACAACACTGTGACATGTCAATGGAGCACTGTGGCTTGTCAATGACAACACTGTCCCTTGTCAATGGTTTATCCGGTGACTTGTCAATGGAGCACTGTGACTTGTCAATACAGCACTGTGACTTGTTAATGGCAACACTGTCCCTTGTTAATGGTTGCACTATGACTTGTCAATGGGGCACTATGACTTGTTAATGGCAATACTGTCCCTTGTCAATGGTTGCACTATGCCTTGTCAATGGGGCACTGTGACTTGTCAATACGGCACTGTGACTTGTTAATGGCAACACTGTCCCTTGTCAATGGTTGCACTATGCCTTGTCAATGGGGCACTATGACTTGTTTGTGAGAACATTATCCCTTGTCAATGGTCGCTGTCAAGAGAGCATTGTGACTTGTCAATGGAGTACTGTGACTTGTTAATGGTTGCATTGTGACTTGTCAATAGGATACCATGACTTGTCAATGGGGCACTGTGACTTGTCAATACGGCACTGTGACTTGTTAATGGCAACACTGTCCCTTGTCAATGGTTGCACTATGCCTTGTCAATGGGGCACTATGACTTGTTTGTGAGAACATTATCCCTTGTCAATGGTCGCTGTCAAGAGAGCATTGTGACTTGTCAATGGAGTACTGTGACTTGTTAATGGTTGCATTGACTTGTCAATAGGATACCATGACTTGTCAATGGGGCACTATGACTTGTCAATGGAGCACTGTGACTTGTTATGAAATTCTCATATCACTTGTCATTAACTCCTGTTATATTAGTTGTTATTTTGGATAACTCATGTTGTTAATTTAAACGCAAGGTAACCAACCATAATATCTCTGCACATATAAAATAGGAATATAATTAAAAATGTAATAAAACCCTAACAAATTAGTATTATAATATGTGATGACAAAGGTAATAATATTATAAACATAATCTGATTAGTTTGTTACAAAATGACCTATTTGCTAATCATCTTAACAACACATATCATGGGCTAAGAGAACAAAAAATTCATAGACTACTCTATCTCTTCTTCTTGGTCTTGTTGTAGTCCGATAGCATCGACATCACTTCACTCCCATGTTCATTATTTGGATGGGTTACGAACCACCACAAACAGCCAACCTTCAACTCTTGTAGTTCATCATTAGAGTATCGTGGCATTGTATATCCTGCATCATCCCGAACGGTGCCATCCCACTCTTGTAGCCAAGAGATAACATGAACTCCACATGAATCACTACCAAGTAAATTGAATATGTTAGCACCTTGCAATTGTTATTGTGAACAAAAACAACATAACACAATCGAACAGAACAACTACACTTACGTATCATTCTGTACATAGACTTTAGCCCATTTCACTTCGTTGTCAATTTTGTCCTCATTGACAAACAATTCTGGCTTAACAGCATGTAGCATCGAATGGAAACAGTTCATCTGAAAAAAAAAAACACACACACGCACATAATGAAAAGGCATCACTAACAACACAGCATCCAGTAACAAGGCACAGAGCATCCAGTGACAAGGGACAGAGCATCCAGTAACAAGTAACACAGCATCCAGTGACAAGGGACAGAGCATCCAGTGACAAAAACACACCATCCACTAACAAGGGACAGAACATCCAGTGACAACTAATAGAGCATGTAGTGACAAGGGATAGAGCATTTAGTGACAACTAACAAAGCATCCAGTGACAACTACCAGAGCATGCAATGACAACTACCACAGCATCCAGTGACAACTAACAGAGCATCCCGTGACAACTAGCAGAGCATCCAGTGACAATTACCACAGCATGTAGTGATAAGGGACAGAGCATCCAGTGACAACTAGCATAACATCCAGTGGCAACTAACAGAGCATCTGGTGACAACTAACAGGGTATTTAGTGGCAACTAATATATCATCCAGTGACAAGTAACAGATCATCCAGTGACAACTAACAACTAATATATCATCCAGTGACAAATAACAAATCATCTAGTGACAATGAGCAGAACATCCAGTGACAACTACTAGAGCATGCAATGACAACTAGCACAGCATCCAGTGAAAACTACCACAGCATGTAGTGACAAGGGACAGAGCATCCAGTGACAACTAGTATGGCATCCAGTGACAAGTAACAGATCATCTGGTGACAACTAGTACAGCATCCAGTGACAACTACCAGAGCATGCAATGACAACTATGCAGACTGCTACTAACAATTATAATAGTCATTGACAAGTATAAAAGCTGTAAATAACTACTCACAGTTTGTATTGCCATGAACTGTTTGGGTCGAATTGCCTTTTATTTGTCCTCTTTTTCTTCTTTGCATCATGTTGTTGCTCACCCCCTTCTTCTTTGCTTCTTCTTCTTCCTCGGCTTGTAATCTCATGAATGTGATGCTATCAACCAACGAGTCAAGGGCATGGAAGTTCATGGTCTTTGTCTCAAAAACATAATAAAACCAATGATCTTCAAATAGAGTAGGACCAAAAATGAAATCGCAATCCCCGATATTGTATCCAATATATTCAGGTAATATTTCTCTTTCATGGTCCTCCCATTTCCACCTTAAAGGATTCGCCACCATTTTCTGCATGAAATCTGCAGAAAATATATGGCGGTTGACTCGCCCATCTTTTTCCTTTTGATCTCCAACGAATGTCTTTGCCACCATAGTCATAAACTGAAATTGCAAATACAAACAAATTACAACTCCTTAGCATGCAATAACTCATTCCGATATTAACTATGTACGTGTGACTCACCCTGTCGTTTATCCATCTTCTACGTTAGAGACATTGCAACTCACCACGGGTTAGGAAGTATCCATACATCGATACAAAGTATCTAACACAAATGAAACAATTATGAAGTTAGTAAATTCAGTAAATTCTGTAACATAATACAAAATTGGTCACCAAAACATAATACTTACTGCTCTTGCTCCTCTTAATTACACCTTGCTGTACACATGTCAAATAAAGCTTGCCTGTCATCAATTGTTCTTTTTTTCCTAGCCTTGCTTTTAAATTCTAGAAATGGAGACCTAAGAGCTTTCCCCTTACTTATCACCCTTGTAGATTTCCTCACATGTTCGTTCCCTTCCCCTTAGGTGGCCTCATCCACTTCTTTGTCCTCTTCATCTTCTTCTTCTCTTTTATTTTCTTCTTCATCTTCTTTGTTCTCATTTCCCTTTTCTTTTTCCTCTTCATCCTCTTCTTTTTCCTCGTCATGTGATTCTTGTCCACCCATCTCCTTTTCTGACTGAGCTTCTTGCTCTTCTTCTTCATTTCTATCATCTTGTGATTCAGATTCTTCTTCTTCATTTCTGTCATCTTCTTCCTCATCCTCTGAATCACTTCCTTTCTCAAATTTTTCCTCTTCTGCTTCAAATTCTTCTTCCTCATCTTTGTCCTCTTCACTTACATTACCACTACCCTCCCTTAGTCTTGACTGAAGGGCCATCATTTCCTCCCCCAGCATAGACACTAATCGAGTATATGTCTGTTTGATCTCTTATACAAATAAAATTCAGAACAGTAAGCAACAGTAGAAAAACAAAAACAAAAAAACAAAAATTAATCATTAAGCCTACAAGTCCACATACCGGGTGAGTTAAATTTTCAGGATCAAATTTGGTGGATTGCTTTGCCGAATGCAAGAGTCCTCGATTGCTTTCCTTCTCCTCCTTAACTCTTTGTTGCACTTTCTTTTCATCCCAATATGCAACAGCATGCTTTACATGTGCAGCTTTTGTTTCTCCCAGTGGAAAATTTTGTAGACAATATAACTGCATGTGACATGAATGATAAGTTAACAGCAGCCATTGACAACATTCAGACCATCAAATGATAACAGAAATATACAAATTATTATAGCACTTACCATTAGGAAGTATAGACAACCTGGCACCTTCTTCTTCTTCTCAGTCAACTTGCCTTTTTCCAATTGTTTCTTGTACACTCCAATCCCCTTATATAGTTCATGCAACACATAAGAGGACCAATCAAACTTATCCAATCTATCCTTTGTTGATAGTATTACCTTCAACAAATAATCACCGACACAAATACTTGCATTAGGACATAACAACGTTCCCAATGCATACATGACAAATAGCACCTCAAAAGTTTCATCTTGGTTCTCCTCAGTCAACAATGATGCTATCTTCTTGTATGGAATATTGCCATACACAATCCTCCACTGTTTGAACACTTCATCTTCATTATTCACAACTACTTTAATCTCTTCTCCGTCAAATGGTAGCCCCAGAAATTCATGCACATCTTTTGCCCTCATTTCCCTTCTCTTCCCTCTTATGGAAATGTTTTTTGATGCAAGATCAAATGCAGACATAAACTCTCCACACAATTCTCTTTGAATTGTGTGGCAACAGACTTCAACCAACTTGTCAAACCCTATTTTTTTCAGCCTATTCATCAGTTCCTTCCTTTCTTTGATGTGCTTGCAAACTTGCATGAATTGTTTTGGTGCACATCTTGTATAGAAAGGAACAATATACTTCTTGGACTTGGTGGGAGGTCTTTGTGCCTTAGCCCTTTCACAATATTCCTTTCTTTGTTGTTCTGATAATTTATCTCACGCCTTTCTCACTTGTGCATTCCCTGCTTCAAGTGATTTGTACTTCTTTGAGCTTTTCTTATAGAATTCCTCCATAAACAAGGCATAACCGAAGAAATTACTGCTTCTTTGTGCATCCTTCCCCATCTTCTTATCCTGCAAAACAAGACCAGTGCATTGAACTTCAATTCTTCTTAAATTCCTAGTAAACTTTTGCAGAGATGCGGAGCTTCATAGATATCAAAAAGAAAGTTGATTCAAAAGCAGTACGATAAATATACAACCTAATCCATTCAGACCACAGCATTCATTTACTATGACATTTATTATCAATATACAGACTTTCTGGCAATTCTGCTCAAATTCTGAACCCCAACTCTTTCAAACCACATCAAACTTCTCAAACTAGTTCCAAAAAGATATACCAAAAGAGGGGTTTTTCCAGGTTTCTCGGTATGTCAACAAATGAAAGGCTTAATCAGTGATAAAAAGATTCAATTTTTCACCAATAAATGAAAGGCTGCATCATGCATAATTCAGACGCAATCATCAATACTCCTCCTCTTCTCGCATAAAGGGAGGGGGATGGTGAATGATACAAAAATTACCCTCTATGTTGTGGGAGGACTTAGCAAGGAAGTCAACAATACTTAAATTTTCCCTATAGGTGTGTTGTATCTGGACATTCCAGTCCCGATAGAACAACCGCTTGCTATCCTCGACTATGTCCCTAAGGGGTTGGTTATTAGCGCAGCCTCTAATAATTAGATTTAAAGCTTCTATACAATTGGTCAACAAGAGGATGTTCTTGAAGCCTTTCTCCCAGCACAGGTTGAGTCCATGGATGACGCCTATTAACTCTGCAATCGCTGGGGGGACCTTGGTAAGTTTGCATCTGAAGCCCATTAACCAATTGGCCTCCTTGTCCCATAAAGCTCCTCTGCATCCACTGTCTCCGTTGGGCAAAACTGACCCATCTATCTCAAGTTTGATAAACTCCTCTTAGTACCTATAAGCAGCCTGGTTGGGACCCTGATTATAGCCATGAAAGTTCGCACGCTGTACAAGATCGTGGTCCCAGCAGGCCCTAAAGAAACTCAAAGTTGGGCTTTGGTGGTCTGCAATGGAGGTTGGATCGAAAGTTTTGTTGCAACGAGCGACCCAAATGTCCTAACAGACATACCTAAAGAGATGAGCCTAGGTGATTCTCTTCGTGTGCTCTTGTCTTGCTTCCTTTTCCAGATTCCATTCCACCCAATCTCATCTGTTAATGCTAAAAAAATTATTCCAGCGGTCACGGGAGATCAACATCTGCCAGCTTTACCGTGCATTGATATAGTCTCTGATGAGGTGCATGCTTGTTTCCTCTGCATCGCAACCAAAGGGACAGGCAGCGTTATCTGTTATGCCTCGTTGTCTCCTAAGGTCAGCCGTGTGAAGTCTTCCATGTGTAAAGAGCCATATGAAGGTTTTAATCTTTTCTGGAACCTGCCATCACCAAATTTTCTTTCATATACTATCTGCTTGCTGCCGAGTACCTGCACAAAGAAAAGAATAAGCAGATTTAACAGTAAAACTCCCATTCGAGGATGGTTTTCAGAACAGTTTATCCTCTCCTCTCTCCTCACAGGGGGTGTGCACACATAATCTTCTCAACTGTGTTTGGGTTTAACCAATGGCTGAGTTTTCTCCAGTCCCATTCACCCAGTGGCATTACATAGTCCCTCACTTTTTCTCTTGGGTCAATTAAATCTTCCCTTCCCGGGATCAGGTTAATCAGTGGCGTGTTCACCTCAGACCAATTGTCAAACCAGAAAGAGCTCTCTCTGCCATTACCAATCTTCATGCCCAGGCCCTTGTTAAAAGTTCCACAGAGTTAACAGATGGCCCGCCAAGTAAGCGACGCATCAGCTTGTTTTTTCACATCAGGTTTCATCTGTTCGCCACAATTGTACTTTTTTCTCAGCACTCTAACCCATAAGGCATCTCTATCGCACATCAACTTCCAGCACAGCTTGAGAATGAAGGCTTCATTCTGCTTTCTTAGGTTTTTAAGGCCAAGGCCGCCAGCCTTTTTCTCCATGGTGACTTGTGCCATGATATGAGATGAATTTTCCTTTCTCCATTCACTTCTCCCCATAAAAATTCTCTGCTGGTCTTTTCTAGGTCATCAGTCAACTTTTTTGGTAGGAGAATAGTTTGCATGTAGTAGGAAGGCAAAGCAAAAGAATAGATTTTATCAGGGTAGTGCGTCCTGCTAAATTCAACATATTCCTTTTCCAACCAGCTAGTCTCTTTTGTGATTTTTCCACAATTGGAGCAAATACTATCACACCTTACTATTATATTGTCTTAGGTTCCTTTTAAAATCATTTTTGACCACATTGGATGGTCTTGGGCTCTTTTTTACCACAAAAAACGCTAATTTTCGGATTTTTACTGTTCATCGGGTAAAAATCCAATTTTTCTGGCCTAACTTTAAAAATTCATAACTTATTCTAAAAAAATCCAATTGGGGTGATTAAAAATTCTAATTAAAGCTATTTAAGTCCTCTTTCAAAGAAAAATAATCTCATTGTCCAATTCCTTATGAGAAAGCATCAGGTTTTTGAGAAAAGCAACATTATCCATTTGCCAAAAACCCAGATTCTGACCATTAACTTTGAAAAATCATTATAAATCGTATACTGGGCTATTTTTAACGTATTAGCTATCAAATTGAAGCTCAGGATGTTATCTTTCATCATAATAAATTTCATGACTAAAAGAGTTCGGGAGCATAATCAAAAGTCGCGTGAACCAGTTAGTGTCAGTGTGCTTCCAGCACTGTTAGTTTAATATTTACATAACCAAAATGAGCTCACGAATTTTTGTGGCTAAACCCCACAAATTAGCCTTTAATCTGCAGCTTTCCCTTGGAGGATTCAGGTCCTAAAATGTTACATTATTTTTGGGGGATGAGATTTTTGAAAATCCCAGTAGCAAATTAACCAACTATAGCACCAAGCAAGCATCATTATTGTGCATGATCATATTAGCTACTATTGGTGAACTAAAACATACTTATCATTTGGAAAACTCAAACATGCAAAGGCCAAAGCAAGACACTATAAAGAGCAGCCACATAACAATCAAGAAAGCTCAACCACAATAATAGTAATTAACCATACAATAATCAACAATGCTAGTTAGTGGTAGTAGCTAGGTTTAACTTACTACCTTGCTCCAAAAGTCTTAGCTTTTCTTCCTTCTCCTCTTTCCCTTGACAAATATCAACCCTAACCATATAATCCATCAACAAAGGCAGCCATAATCATTATCCAACCATGAAAAAGCAAGAACATACATCAAAATGATTTTTGAACCATAAAGTTCCCTCCTTTGCTCACTATTTTTGAACTTGGTTCTCTTTAACCCTAAAAATC